CTCCTAAATGATAACCTGCTAAACTCAGGTTTTTCATTCTATTCACTTGTTCAACCTAAAGCTCTATTCACACTATAACATTTTATGTGACAAATTTGTGTGATGTCCCTATATACAGTATGGACATGATGATGTCACATCATCATCATAGAGCCTCACAGTCAACTCCTAAATGATAACCTGCAAAACTCAGGTTTTTCATTCTATTCACTGTTTGAACCTATAATAGCTCTGTCCACACTATCAAATTTGTGTGATGTGCCCATATATGGGCATGATGATGTCATACAGTATTACACCCAAATATGGGCATATCACATTTATTTGTCACATAAAATTTTTTAGTGTGGGATGAGCTTTAAACGGTGTCAGTCGATGATTGAGTATCGGTAAGTTTAATAAAGAAAACTACTGGAAGTTGTTTTGTATGTGCTACCTTTGTGCAGTTCTTCTGTCATTTATAAAGCTTTGCAAGTTCTCCTAGAAAGTAGTGGAATAGAGAGAGCTCGTATCATACTCACAGGCAGTCACACAATGACTCGCACAGTGACGGTTGAAATGTGTAGGCTGCCATCGCCTGATGATTAGTGCCTAAAATTTTTTACAAAAACGTAAATAGAATAATGACGTATTGAATATTGTATATTTTCAGTAAATTTCAGCCACTCCCAAGTTTCTTTCCTATTCGTCCTTCCTTTTACATTATTTTTATTCTTAACAGACTACTTACTCATACATTCATTCATTCGGTACACATACATTCATTCATTCAGTACACATATATTCAGTTTATATTTATTTAGTTTTATTTATTATTTATTTCCTTATCTTTTTGGGCTGATCTTTATGTATACATTGTGTCTATAGTTAACATATTTCAATCGTTATTCAATTTGAAGTCTGAGATCAATGTCCTGGTTTTCCACTCTAGAGTTGCTCTCAGATAAGCTTATCTTCGTAAGACTTCTACGAAAGGATACATTGTTTGAAGCAAGAAATCAAGTTGCCCTTATCCAGTATTGTTCGTGCATATTAATCGGCTTGAAATTTTCCCTACAGAACTGACACAAAGCCCACACGGATCATTCCTAGATGCTGTAAATTATGTACAAATCCTATACAGATCACACACAAATCCCACAGCACCACTCACATTCCACACAAATCAAGATCCCAAACAGATCACAAACAGATTTTCGCACAGAGCCTACAGAGATCCGTTACAGATTCCTGTAGTTCCCACACAGATAAATACAGATCCAAGACAGGAACCTACATAGGTCCCGATTATACACCGATAGCCCTGTTACTAAGACTCGGCATGTATCTCGCACATATCTAAAAAATCCCTGATGGAGCTTAAAGCCGGTCTCCTGAGGAAATTTTTTTAATGTTGTAAAACTGGTTTTTCTAAGACTCAAAAATGGGGTTTGACGAAAAACTCGTGAACGGTTAATGAGGTGCCAGTATAGATTTTTGAATATTTAAAAACTGGGGGGAAACCTACTAGAGGAAAAGGTACTAAACGAACAAGTTGAATATTTGAGGTGGTTGTGGCAGGGATTAGGGAAACTCTAGACTTGAAAAAATGTTTTCAAAGTGCTTTAATATACTGTAACAGTAAGACATAGGCCTACAATTTTAAATATAAATATTTTTTGTGAAAGTATAAAAACGTAGTGGCTGGGTAAGTACCAAACCCACCACAGATTCATCATCATGTCACTTACAGATGAGTTGTATTAATTATTACTGCTTTAAGTATAATGGGTGGGTGGGGAAAAATTTAGCTTAGGGGAAATGGCAACCCGCGGCCCCCTCCCCTTAGGTACGCGCCTGCCCTGGATCCCACAAATATCTCGTAATATTACAGGAGTCATTGCGCACTCTCTCTCCCTCTCTCTCTCTCTCTCTCTCTCTCTTCTCACACACACACACATCCTTCACAGAGCACTCGAATTCCGCCAGATCCCAATCTCACACAATTTACAATATTCTCAAGCAGATCGCAAAATTGTCTTACACAGACCTCATACAGATCCCACCACACACCGCACGGATTACACATACACCCCCAAAAATCAACCGGAGGTTCCATCTTGGTGCCGTATTCGAATGTCTAGGAGTCGGATACAAAATGGTTTGTGGGAGATACCAACAATTTCAAAATGTTTGAATTAAAACCTTCAAAAATATGATTCTGGTTGATACAAATATTTTAGAGGTCTTAGTCAAAGTTACTAATTTAGGCCAAATTAAAATACTAGGCTCTATTTCAGTCATAAAAATATAGGGCATATATGTTAAATTTTCCGGGGTGGGGATAAAGTCTATTTTATCCCACACCCCTTTAAATCCGCTACTGATGTTTCAGCAGAGCCGCTCCTTGGTCAACCTTGAAATATGATTATTATTGAAAATATAATGTTCATTTCTCATGCCGCCGTAGTCAATAATCTGGACTTCACTTGTTATTTGATTGGTTAATTGTTGCTTTACTTTGGGCCCCGTATTGATCATACGAACTTTTTTTTTTTTGTTTTTTTTTTTTTGTTTTTTTGTTTTTTTTTTGTTTTTGCAAATGAAATCATTTTATTTATTACATTTTGGATGAATGAGATAATAGCTTAATAGTATAATAATGGTTGGATTTATATAGCGCTTTACGTCAGTCTCAAAGCGCTCGAGGCGTGTAATAGGAACTCAATCAAGAAATAAAATTAACTTTAAATATTATACTATCTTCCAAATCTACTGTATATAAACCCAATAAATAGAACAAAGAGTTGTTTAGAGTTCGTCTATTTTAATAGGTTATTACCCTTCAACTTGAAGTTAGAACAAGAAAATGTTTTGCATATAGGAGGTCTACTCTTAAATTCCTGGGGGGGGGGGTGGATAAAAGGTTGGTTACGCCCCATATTCCCAGTTTTTAAATATTCAAAAATCTGTATCTCATAAACCGCTTCTGAGTTTTACGTCATATATGCTTTTTTGTCTTTAAAATTCAGTGTGACAGGTATCAAATTCCTATTAATTTCCGCTTTGAAGGGAATACGAACCTCTCACTCGGCAAGTAAGTATTCGATTAGCAACTCTCCCCGACCCCTGACAGAAACATCCTGAATCCGGTATTTATTTGATATTAATAAGCCACCTACTTGAAAATACTGTACTTGGTATTACATAGTATCAAAGTCTGGATAGAGAAAGATGTTTAGGAGAGTTGATTCGCTATAGGGGGCGCTCTACTAGCGAAGGCCATTTATCGCACATTTAATTTCTATTTGCTGTACACTACTGAAATTATCAATTAATTGTACGTATCCCATGTCTTTGTTTTGTAATCGAAGGACGCTTGCTGAAGACTGGGCGTAGGCAGGCTTATGGCCACATTCATTAATAATGTTTGGTTTCATGATGGTTAAAATCGTATGAATCTCAGTACATAGTAGGAGAGATAAAGACGGTACTGACTAAGTATATTATTGATTATTTTAATGGATCGTAGGCCTAGCGTAGGCTTTCGGCCTGGATAGGCCTAGCCTCCACACTTAGATGTAGGGCTGGCGAGTCGCAGTGCTGCTGCTAGGACCGCTAACAGACCTTGCTAGGCCTTAGAGTAACTCTGATCTAAAGTAGGGAAGAGGAAAGGCCTATCTATCTGTGCCTAGCCATCATACTCTTTGCATGTATGTAGGCCTAACCTGCTTCAACCAGTAGCAGTAGTAGTAAATTAGGTTAAGGCCTAGGCTAGGCAATAGTATAATAGTAGGCTAATGCTTATCTTCTTACATGGATGGATGCATATTTTTGTTTTAATTTAGGCCTAGGGCCCTAGGCCTAACCTAACCAGCTATAATTCAATTATTATTTAATATTACAATTGGTTTTGTGTCTACTGCCCACTTCTATGGTAGACACAAAGGCAGGGTTTAATTAAACTGGCCAAAAAAATATTTAGCAATTTGGCTAATTTGGTATGAAAATAATTAGCCAAATAGAAATTTGATTAGCCAAAAACAAAAGAATTTTATAAGCAATGATATCTTAAATTCCATCTGATTTTTGGATAATTTTAAGTAAAAATATTTAGCAAAACTCAGCTTTTAGTAGGATTATTCTATTCTTTTTTTCTTTTGGTATAAAACACAAAAATACAAACTGGCAGCAAGAGCTGAAATAAGTTGCATTACAAAAAAGATTTGGCTAATTTGGCTAACACTGGTAAATAATTTGAAAGGTCATGTTAACTTGACCTCGTAATAAGGTTACTTTTTGTTCCTGTAGGCCTATGTCCCGAGGGGAGCGTGCATTCCCAATTTAATGGCAACAATGAGGCAAATACCAGTTTGAGTGAATATAAATTTTGAGCAAATTTTACTATCTGCAGGTACCACTTTGAACTCTAGCAAGAACAACATCTAACAAATTAATCAGACATTTAAAACAAATCAAAATTTAAAAAGTGAAAATAAATTCAAATTATTAAAACAAAAAACATTGACAGAAAAAGCACTTGAACTAGAACAAGAAACATCTAAAGCCAGACTCCAGAGGAAAAGAAAATGTTGATATTTTATACAACAGATTTTTTTTATAAGACACCTTTAAAAGAAAAAGCATATTTGACAGAAAACATAGGAATGGTTAATGAGATAAAGGGTTTTTAATATTTAAAAAACTGGGGGAAAAGGTGAAGAAAAGTGTGGTTTCCCCCCTTTTCACCCAGTTTTTAAAAATTAAAAAAACCCGTATCTCATTATTAACCTTTCCTAAGGTTTTTGTCATAATATGCTTTTTATGTCTTACAAAAATCTGTTGTACAACATATCAAAAATTGTTTTTCCTCTGGCGTCTGACTTTAATGGAAAATTAAATAAAAAACATCAACAACAATTTAAAAACATATTTGGTGTATGTAATTATGGTGTGTGTGTGTGGTGTTGTACCGAGTTTGCAAACAAGCAAACTCAAAACTGTGCACATGTTGGTTCTGAATGTTGGTATTTAATATAGCTAGTTTTTGATAGGTTGTTTATCCTTAAATACATTTTTTTTTAAATGAATATTAAAGGCAAATGGGATTTAAATCAAATAAAGTTAAATCCCAGAGTCTGGTTTTTTCAGAGATAGATTAGAATCACTTGATTTGCCCTAAAATTTTACCAACAAATTTAATAACCACTGCTGTGTATTCTATCAATATCCTTGCACAGGATCCAGATTCAGATTCAATTATTTTGTTGAATATGGAAATAGCAGTGAGTACATTTTGAATCATTCACATTTCATAAACATTTGTTTCACATAAAATACAGGTTAAAATGGCAAGTGAAATATTAAACTTAACTCCAAACACACAAAATAAAATTATTAAGCATTATCATAATACAAAAAGATAGTATTTATATTAAAATGTTTAAATAAAGATTCTAGTAAAAAAATTGTTCAAATAATTAAAGAATAAAATATAAAAATAGTACAGTGAGGTATTTCTTAACCCTAAATCTTATTTTTATGTAATTAATTAATTTGTTTTCATCGGTCATTTATACATCATTCAAACCTTAATTCCCTTCTAATTACTACACGATCTAATTGTGTACACATCAACAAATATTGTAGTAATATTTTTCTAGATGAACTTGTGGTACTAAAGGTAAGCTAGTCAATGCGTATGCCTCATTATAATAAGCATCCGCCTTTGGAATCATACCATGATTTGAATAATTTAATAATGTTTATGATTTTTTAATGTTTTGGTTTCTGTTTTAAAATTACAGTATTCATTTTCCCTAACGTATAAGATTGCTTGTAAATTGAAACAGTGTGACAATTATTGTTTTCTCAGAAATTAAAGTATGGTTTTTTTTTTCCTTTTCATGCAGGACGAAGAACAAAATGGATCAATAAATCCATAATTTCATAAAAAAAATCTGTATTCCAATGAGGTTTGTACAGCATGTATGCAGTATTGGAACAAAACCCAGCATCCAGAAGTGATTGCTGCATTCGATCCCTATGCTGGAAGGGTTCCGTTCCTACCAGTGAAAAAGACAAGACGCACGTACGGAAACGATGTGTATCGGAAGGATGGCTGGCTAGCGGCAATGTCAAAGGGATAATCGGGGCCACATTCACAACTAGTCATTGCAAGAAATCATACAACTCTCCATCTAGGACGAATTTTAATCTTAGAGGGCACAATAGTGAGGTAAGTATTTTGACATGCACAGATTTTCTAATCTATTCTACAGTACTCCTCTTTATTATTTAGCAGATAAAAAGTGCCAGCACCCTATAATTTCACCTCAAAACCCACAGCAAGTATTATTAACTCTCCAAACCCGAAGAGACAAGAAAATTCTCAAATGAAGCAATAGTGAAAACCTAAAAATGGAATAAAAAAGTTCAGAAAGAGAGAAAAATATCTCAGAAAACAAATTAATGAAGTCTCAAAGAGAGCAACAGATATAGAAGAGCAGACATGAAAAGGAAGATTGTTCCACCCACATGAGTGGAACAATGCCTGAAGAAGACATGTTGTTGATACATTTTACTTTTGTAGGAGTCGTACAATACAGTAGCAATAGAAAACCAATAGTGGGTGGTAGACATTTTAAAGGTGGGTGGATGATAACGTTGGTAAACTCAAAGAAAATAAGTGGTGTTTTAAGTATGGGTAATGGTGGGTGGGGTCCATGAAATTAGCTTTAGGTAGATTAGGTAGAAAACCTCAAGGCTTGGTGGCCCTGCCCACCATAACTACATCCATTGGAAAGGTTTGTTGTGGTTTAGGCTTAACAGAGAGGTTACAGTTTTTTAATCATATGTTTCATTCTACATGAGGTCTTTGAGCAACATACTTAATCTACAGTACTTTTGTTTATTCACACAATTCACATGTGAAAGATTTGGAATTAATCCAGTTTTGTAATTAGCAGACTAGTAATACTCTCCAGGGAACTTGAAAGAAGTTAAAGGTTAATTTATACTCTAAACAATTCAAGAAACAAATGTCAATAGATGATTGCAATACAGTGAAATTATTAACATTAAATTGTTAGTATTTAGCATACAGTAATAAACATGGGTAATCCTGTATAGAAGATATTTATTTTGAAGAAAACAATAAAGTGAGAGCATCAGTGTGCCTGGTGTTGGCAGATACTGCAAGGTTATTCAGAACCACATTGTCCTAATATGTATACATACAGTATCATTATTATTATGTATTAATTAATACTGGATGTTTTATATACGATTCCTGAAATATGGTGCGTGTCATGCCAAAACCTGCATCAGTGACAAAAATGAGAAAATTTACATTTTAATATCATATTATTCTCCACATTATAAGCTTTAAAATGACAGGTCATTTTGCTAGAATCCACTTACTATTTGCCAAAGTTATGAGTAAAACTATTACAGCATCTCTGTACTAATATTATATACAATACTGCTACATTCTTATGCTTCTGAGTTGAGCATTTAGCAACAGTACACTGGTTTTCATATGGCAAGCCTCATAGGAAAGGTGATTCAACAACATTAAAAACTAAAACACAGTGATACCGTGTTGTAGAATTGTTTTGCAATAAAATATATATTTGATTTCCAGGTGGTACTAGTGCGTTGGAATGAACCATTTCAAAAATTGGCAACTTGCGACAGCGAAGGCATCATCTTTGTATGGATTAAATATGAAGGAAGATGGTCAATAGAACTAGTCAATGACCGTGCATGTCAGGTAATAATGAGATAGTCTTCAGTCTTTGAATATGAAGGAATGGTCAATACAACTAGTCATTGACCAGATGTATGTATAGGCAAAAAAAAAGCTGATTACTAGTGTCACACCCCACCCTCATCAAATTTTGGAGCCTCATGAAAAAATTAACTGTTTGCTATTTAAAAAAAGCAATAATTTTCAATGGAAAATAAAAATAATGATGATCTGAAAGATTGTTTTCAAAACATAAGAAGAGGGGAAAAAATATATGGCAGAATTAATTTTACTTCTTTCATAGACAAAAATCAATCTTTTTTATTAAATAATAAAGATTGCTTTTTGTCTATGAAAGAAGTAAAATGAATTTTATCAGCCTGTTTACCATAAGATAGTAAATAGTAAATATCCTCACCAAAAAATAATTTCAAGTTCTGTACATGAAACTAATAATTAATTTTATTTGGCCTAATGTAATGTTATTGTAATCTCATTCAGTGAATATGAAAGATGTTGACTAGTTTAACTGGTCAATGACTGTTACTGATCAATGACTGTTAAGGCTTTTCCATCACTATAATGGTAAAAGCTGCTGATCAATAGAACTGGTCAATGACCGTACATGTTAATAGTAAGTAGCACTGTTATAGCTTCTTCATCTTTTTAAGTAAAAGAATAATTCTTTATTTGTTCTCATTCAACTTGGAAAGTGGAAATGCAGCGCCACCAACTTTAATGAACACACAAGATCAGTTTTCAGACATTACATTGTAAAGCTGTGTATTATTTTTACGCAGGTCAGTGACTTTGCATGGACTCATGATGGACGAACCGCCTTGATTTGCTATAAAGATGGATTTGTATTGGTAGGCTCGGTTGCAGGTCAGCGCTACTGGTCATCGATGCTGCAGCTGGACGGCCGACTTACCTGCGGAACATGGTCACCAGATGACAAACAGGTACAGGTTAACTTTATTTGTTTTATGTATCCAATAATTACAATAAATAATTTTCCGAGTTTTGAGTTCGCCGAAAAACATCAATACATCAAATGGTTAAAAGTTTAAGCTGCAATTAGTTATGTAAAAGTGCTTCCTTACATCATTACACCAACTTTCATAATTTTCTAATAAACACATTGTAATGCTATGTCCTCGCTCAAGTTTTATGTGACAAATACCTTTGATTTGCCCATATATGGGTATGATATGACATCATTATGCCTATGCCCATATATGAGCAAATCACACATATATAATATGTAATATATATAGTAATTTTTCCTATTTTATGTTTCTTTTATACTTCTGTTTCTCTTTCGGTTTGGAGAGCCACTTGACAGTATTTAAGTATCCTGTCTTCCTGAGTTTGAAACTGTTTTGTGTATTCAAATTAGACAAAATAAATGAAATGAAATATCCCTATGGCGGGAGAGCTTTTGCTGTGGCAGAACTCCATACCTATCCCCACCAGACATTGTGTTACTTTAAACTCTTAAGACCAAGCTAAAGACCTTCCGTTTCCATCAAGTTTTTCATTAATTTAACATTATCCTTTTTCTGTTTTTATGTACAGCGCATTGAGAACTTGCTTACATGCGCTATATACTACAAGAATGAACTATATTATGCTAGTAAATTGATAGTTTGGGTGGGCATGCCATGCAGATTGTACTCCACAAGAGGTAGTTTAGAAAGTATGGTACATACTCCAAGTATTGAAATACATGCCATCGTGTTGGGATTCTATATTTCGACATTAATTATGTCATCATCAGGAATGTTGATAGTATGTTTGTCAATTTATTTCTGATAAAGTGGTTGTACCATATATACAGCACTGAAATGCAGGTCTACCTCCAGTTAAAGAAAACTCTTGTGACTGCAGTTTCCATGGTCTTTAAGCAGCTTTGGTCTATAATTAGAATTAAAAAGTTATCATAAAATACATTGTGAATTTGCGACCACAAAGCAGTTGGTCTTTAATTGAAGGTGTTTTTAATTATAGAGAGACCTGTAGTACTTGTTAAATATTTGGGGAGTTTGTTCCATTAATACATCAAGTTTGTCCAGTATTCTTTTCATGCAAATTTCAAAGCATGAAATGCTTTTACTTTCATTCATATGGTTCACTTAACAAGAGATCAATTATTTAACCTTTGATTAATTATTTATAAAGTCGGTAGTAAAAGAATACATGCTTCATTTGACAACATTGTCATTGTGAACACTGAATAACATAATAGATTGACATATAACATTGCTTATTAGTGTTAATGTATTGGAACCATTAGGGAAGGATTTAAATTAAAGTTCGTTCATTCATTAACCTTCCAACGATTCCCTTTTTTGATGATTTTTCATGTGTTTTCATGTCTGTTTTAAAATTCTTAGATTTTTTATTGACATTTTAAATAGTTTTTGATGGTTTTTATGTAACATTTATACTGCACTTCAATAAATTGTATAAAATAATATGCAATTTGGCCCTAACCAAAATATGATATGTGATCAAGGGTTAATTGAAATAAATTATTATTATTATTATTATTATTATTATTATTATTATTATTATTATTATTATTAATTGCTTACCATGAATGCTTAGCTATAGACAGTATAGGTTTTCATTTCACCTAACTTCTTCCCAACTATAATTTTCTGGTGGGGTTTATTTCTATTTCTTATTTTACAGAAAATAATACTGTATTATACTTTATATATTATTTGGGCCATGGGCCTATATGATTAATAAATGTTCCTTTGACTTATTTCATTCAAGGAAGAAAAAGATGTATGAGCAAATAATATGTGTGTTAATATATTACAGTAGCTATTTGTTTAGGAAATTTGTCTGTGCATATTAGTTACTGTGCAAATTAATATTTACCTACTGTAGTTATGAAACTATTTTGGAAAAATATAATCAATAAGACAATGACAGCTGATAGCGCCTAGAGTGTACACTGCAGGTTTTCTTGCAGAAAATGAGATTTCCTTCTGTATTGTCTGATTTTTAGCATTTTCCTGTATGCCCATATTCAAAAAGCTAATAGTTTTATGTAAATTTATGTTCGAGACTGTCCCTGCATGGATTATAATTCAGAATCCTTTCCACTTAGCCAAATTCTTCCATTAATTAATTAAATTCATGCAGAATGTATAAACATCAAGTTTGTCAGTGAATTAGGACTAAGAAAATACATTGATGACATAGTATCTGATGATTCAGCAATCCTAATGTTGCTAAGGAGAATATTATAATAATAATAATTTATGATATATGATGGGGATGATTATACAGTTATTTATTTTTTGAATAAAATGTGGCAGATTATAGAGTAGAACCCCTATTAAGGTTACATGTACACCTTCGGGACCATAAAAAGTGTCCCCTTAATAGGGTTAGTGTCCCTATTCAGGGAACACTAACCAAAAACGTGAAATTGTCCCTTAATAGCTGTTTTTGGTTTTCATTGTACATGAAACGATATCATACCTCCTTTATAATTTTATTTTTATTGACATACAGTAAGAATGAGTTACAGTAGAAATAGAACTATAGCAATAATTTGCAATACAACAATTCATTTATAATTATTATATGAAACCAGCAGAAATGTAATTACAACAACAGTAGTTGAAAAACAAAGAACAAGAAAACCCCATGGTTAAGGGTCAAATATTGGTTTATAGGAGGGCAGAGAATTTTGGTTTGATATTATTTATTGCTCAAAAGGTGTCAAAATGTAAAGTTGAATGATCGTTATTTTGAGACTGCTGTAATTCTTGTGATACATGGAAAAATAATTAAGTATTTAACCATTTGGCACAAATGAAAGTGTCTTTTTCCCCTTAATAGAGGTTGGCTGGAGTGTTAAAAGATATATTTCTCCTTGTTTTACAGAAAAGTGTCCCTGTAATACTAGGAGTGTTTCTACTGTAATAACAATGATAAAACAATAACATTATAATGAAAATACATCAATATGATATGAAGGTCAAAAATGTGTTGTTTTGCTCAAGTGCAATGATAGTATGGCATTAAGTATGGTCAAATGGGAATTTTTGTTTATTGTACACCTAGGTATATTTTAAAGTCTGTGTTGTCAAACATGACTCACCCCCATGTATTTTGGTTGGAACAATGGTAACCACAGTATCAAAATAGAGATTGAGAGTTGGTTTTTATGTATGCACCTTATTTTAAAAAAACAAAATAAGCCAACCGTAGATTTAAAAAATATAATATAGAGTAGGCATTTATATAGTGCTTTAGGGCCTGTTTCTGCTGCTAGAAAATACCTGTATAATACAGGTATTCTAAAATACCGGTATTTTTTTTTCGCAGTAGAAACGGGCCATCCTAAGAAATACAGGTATTTCTGTACCGCTTAAAAAATCGCTATTGATTGAGGGTACGTACTGGTATTCAGGAATGTGTAATGGTATTCAGCTGCAACACAAAATACCTGTATTGGTGACCCCCGGAATGACCCCGATACGACATTTTTCTCTCTGCTAGCCTAGCCAGTGTGTAGGCGCGCGAAGGTACAAAATTCTGTCTGTGGGACTAGTGAAAAGATGTGGACTGAAGAGATAACTCGTTTTTTGGTTCTAGCGTGGGGCAAAGAAAAGATTAATGGGAAGTTCAGTGGCACAAAATGTACCTAGCTCTATCGTCGTCGATGATGTTAGCCGTGCCCAGTACCATTGCTAGGGTTGTCAGCAATCGCCTTCTTTGCCTTTCCAAAATCCATATAAGCTTTCGATATCTTGGCGGTTCGGAATAATGGACCGAACAGTTACCATGCTGATGACCATTTGCTAGCATCGACAAAATTACCGATACTAAAATGATAATATTTTTTAGCTGTATCGCTAGCATCTTCGAATTTTCCCGCAGTTACGGCGGAGTTGTTGTTGATAGTATCGTCAAAGGTCAATTCAAACTTCCGCTTCGCGAATGGCCTTTTGGGTAACAATATTCCGTCGTGTTTTTGACAGAAACCAGACACGACCACCCATTAGAATAAGCACAGATCGGCAGTTGAAATGGGGTTAGGATTTCGGTACCGGTATTATACAGGTATTTTGGATACCTGTATTATTCCTGTATTTTTGGGATTTGCAGCAGAAACATGACCATAGATACCTCCGCCAAAGGAGGATGTATAATAATATTCACCTGTCTGTTTGTCAGTCTGTCTTTCTGTCTACTAAGATTACACATAAATATTACACAAAATAAAATGAATGGACCTTCATAAAATCTAGTGGAATGGTACATACACTAAATAAAGAGATAATTGAATTTATTGAAATAAAGGTCGAAGGACAAGGTCAAGGTCACAGAAATCTGATTTAAAAAAATAATGAAATATGGCCCACCGGCCTGATTATTGTACAGTATTCAGGCATATGGCGGGCGTATGCACTCTATGGAGTTTAGAATATATTGTGTTTACAGTATAAGCTGAACCTATTCAAGATTGATATGCTTTGATTTTGTTGTACATATTTTATCAGGTTATATACATTGCTCTTCCCTACAGGTTATTCTTGGTACAAACAGTGGTCAAGTTATGATTATGGACATTCATGGCGCTGTTGTTCTTCAGTCAATGCTTTGCGAGAACCGTGAAATTAGGACAATTATGTGGTCGGTTGAAAAGTTCCGCATGATAAACGTCATTGAAGACACGGAAGATAAACCAGAACGAAGAAGGAAAAAAAATAGTGAGTACAAATAACCTATTGCCTTAATAAGCTATTAATTTTGTATGATTTTCATAAATAATCCAGTGTATAAGATGGAGGCCTGAAATGTAATACCTGACGCACTTACACACGACAAAATCTTACTTATTACACTTGGTAAATGTCACTGGCACTTGACCCGTATTGGGGGGGGGTGCAAGAGGTGCACACGTACCCCTTCAAATTGGAAAATCTCAACATTTTTTTTAAGACAGTGAATCATATAAATATAGCATAGATAGTCCTACTATGTGTGCACTTTTCACAGATTACGAGGCTGGAATTGGTCTGAAGGCTTCCGAATCTAATACCTAAGCTTTGATCTTACCTTTTCTGTTTCCTTGAACCTTGTGAATATTTAAGGCAATAACCCAGGTGGTCATATTTGCACAACCTGCACCCCTACCCCACCACCCCCTCAAAATCGTAATCCTGGATACTGTCCTGGGTCATTTTAATCTTGCTAAATGTTAGTACAATCTTGATTTTTAGCCCACTTATGAGAGCGAGTTTATGGTGTCACATGCAGAAAAAAAAGGACAATTCATTTGTTATCAGAGGATTCATTTCTTACTGTCATTTTTGTGTATTGAGGAAGAAGGTGTAGAAATTAAAAGTATGATATGCTTTTTTGGTGAAATATGATTTGGAAATCAGTAAAATTTTTATTTCGCATATATAATGGTTTCTCAATCAAGTATATAATGGTTTCTCAATGAAATTAATAATATAATTGGAGGATTATTTATACTTCAAATAAAGTGCAACATGATTTCTGTGGAAATTTAATCCCCAAATGACCCAAAGTACAAATTAACAGACAACAATCCAGTGTGTTTAACCTCAAAATATCTGTTTTGTTTTGACCTAGAATGTGACCCTAAATGACATTGTTAATGTTTATCACCAGATGAGGCTTCTCTTAAACATTTTTGGTTGTTAGAGCAACATTGAGACTCTCCCTGTTAATTGATGGCACTTGTTTTAAATCCAGTTAGGCTTAGGTCTAGGTCTGTCATTCATCTTCAAATTAATATTGAATTTTGTTAACTCATAATCTATACGATGGGATGAGTTGTTTTAACATGTATGCATTTTGTTAAGGAGTGGATTTAGGGAGGGGGCACGGCAACTGACGTCCAGTATTTTGTAGCAGAATAAAATATAAAATGGCATACGAATATTAAATTGTAATAGCATGTACTGAACATGGATCATACCATTATTGGATACAGATACTTATTTTATCTGTATAATTTTATTAAGGTATAAAACACAAAACAAAACAACAGCCAAAGGCTGAAAACGTTTGTTTACAATCAGCAAATAAAGACAACTTAGGAAAACAGATCAGGTGGAAAAATATGTATCAAAATATCAAAACATTCAAATAACAAAATCAGAATTGTTATTTATATCATATTTCAAAAATATATATAATTATATTACATCTAAGCCTATATGAAATCCGTGCTGCCTCGATTAAAATATTTGGAGTCCTCCCTTGCTGTTTGATCAGTTTATTATTAGACTGCATTATTTTCAAGTCTGGCTTTTGAGGCAAAACAATTTTTGATACAACAGGGGGAAAAAAGGAGTATTTTTAAATATTCAAAATTCTGTATTTCATTAAGTGTTCATGAGTTTTTGGTCAAACACACTTTTTGTGGCTTAGGAAAATCCGTTGTGCAACATACGTATCAACAATTTTTCCCCCTCCTGGAGCCTGATTTTAACACTGAAAATAACATGAGAAAAACATGCTTCGAGACAAGATGAAAATGATATTTATCCCTTATGACATATTTATAGATGTTGCCAAGCGCAGAAGCAGTAGGAAGCATCTATCAGTCATGGCTGTTGATATTGGGAATGGAGAAATTCAATTGATGAAATCTCATGAAGATATCACGCCTATTTTGATAAAAACTGGAATGAAAGGTAAGACTGATGATAGTGGTGTACTTAGTGGGAAGACCCCCCCTTTCCATTCAAAAGCCACTTGAACACCCACATTAGATTTTTTTGGACCCTTGTGAAAACGCAAGAATCAAGAGGGCCCTTGAATTTTAGATTTTTTTTTTTATTTAAAAAAGGAAAATTACATTCAAATTTATATCAAATTTAGCTGTTCCATTATCATAAAATTTAGTGCAAACTTTCATCTATAAAAGTCTGTCCATCGGCCCCACTCTATTTTGAATTTATGGATCTACACTGGATCAACTTAGTTATCAACTCATCATCGTCGGCATTAATATCATAATCATCATCATTACATCGTAATTATCATCATCACCCTCATCACTATGAGAGTGTTCTCCCTAGCATCATGGGCAAGCGTCATGGTAAGTGTCCACCATAGTTGGGACTGACACAAGGTATTTTTAATAATTAGGAGGCATTGAAATGTCCTAAATTGCACCTTAGACTATATAAAAGCCGGGAACAGTTAAGTAATTTAAATGTTCCCTGATAAAAGCATCATGGAAGATGTTCCAAGCATCATGGCCAACTGTCAAGCATCATGGGGAAAGTCCCAAGCATCATGGTACCATGATGCTTCAAGGGCCTGGGGAGAACACTGTATGATGATGATGATGATAATCAGCATTGCCATCATCATCATCATTATCCTCACCTTGTATTGAATTCTTGGATCCGTCACTGGCATCAACATCATCATAATTATATCATCATTATCATTACCATCATAATTATCATATTATGCCCATCACCACGATGATGATGATAATTAACGTTGCCATCATCATCATCATCATCATCATTATCCTCACCTTGTATTGAATTCTTGGATCCGTCACTGGCATCAACATCATAATTATATCATCATCATCATTACCATCATAATTATATTATGCCCATCACCACGGTGATGATGATAATTAATGTTGCCATCATCATTGTCATTATCCTCACAGTCATCATCATTAACATCTCCTTCACCACCACTGTTATAAATAGTTAGGAAATATCTTCACTGTTTTACTTTTTTTCCAAGATAATGTAATGGAATGGAGCAACTGTGGGTCATTCCTCGCCGTAGGAGGAGTAATGGAATCTAATGGGAATAGCGTGGTTCAGTTCTATAATGTTCATGGTCATATACGATTCTCACTGGATGTCAGCTCACAGGTATTATACCCCTTAATTATTTCTTGTTATCCTTAATTCAATTTAAATTTTTAATTCAATTTACAATTATAAAATAACAATTTTTGAATGGTCAGACATGGGGCACCACAAGTTATTGTTAGCCTAATAATGATGATGATGTTGTTAACATAAAATTCAACTAAACCTACAAATATAGCTTGCCGAGTCAAATGGCTGAGCAGTTAAGGCAGGGCCGCCGCAACCGTCAGTTATTACAGCTGGTTCAAACGGCATCGCTCGCCTATGGCTCTGGAGGTGAAGCAAGTCTTCTCGGATAATTACTATAAACCTTTAAAAGCCCAGTGTGCAATTCGCTCGTGTGCACTATATAGAACCCAGTACATCTTTTGAGATGAGTAGGGGGTTACCCTGGTGTACTGATCTATACAGCCCCTGTCAGGTGTGGACAGATGGGAGTAGCTGGTACCAGTTTACCAGCAAATCAGACACTTAGGCTACGTTCGACTTGGAGATAAGCCAGGCTTGAGTTAAGCCTGGCTGCCCAGCTTAACTTTGGCAGGCATTAAGACTAGCCGGATTAGCCAGGATTTTCATAATAATGAACCGTAAAAAGGAAACATGTTTCAAAACATTGCTCGCGAAACGTACGCTCGATTGAATGCTGATTGGTCATTTTGTTACTGCAAGACCCCCCTCAATGATTAAAGCCCAGCTTAGAAAAGTTAACACTGTGGCACGCCAGGCCAAGTTATTATAAGAACATAGCCCAGCTTGAGATAAGCCACCTTAAGCAATAGAAGCAAAACAAATGGGGAAAAAATAAAAAAACAAAAATATTAATCAGTGTTTTGTATTAACTCAATGTGGATTGTTTTTACACCCTTTTAGAATCCTCTCTCGGCCTTAACTTGGGGTCATGATGATAAACGCATTTTCGTGGCATGCGGTGCTCTTCTCCATGTTGCGTGGGTAGAGAAACAGATAGCGCCATTACAGATTTTATGTAGAGAAGCGGTTGTATCAATTATGAAGGAGGAGAAGGCAGTCAACAGCCTGACATTACCTGGAAGGCTTAAACATTTCGTTTCTGAGAGATATTTCAGTACAGTAAAGGTTAGTGTATGTTGCGTATATATGGAGTGTCTCTTAGGTTCTCTATGATTTTAACTTACAGAATATAATATATGAATCTAAACTTATAAATTCTACCTGTCATGCTGTCATATTATGAAATACACCAACTTGCGAGTTGTATGTGTTCCTCAGAAATATGTAGCCACATCAAGCCCAGTGTAAAAAGAGTTGGTGCAATGAATAACTCATGTTAATATATTATGAAATTATAAAACATTGTATAGAGATGAACAGTGGACCTTTTTGCTAAGCCCTGCCCCTCGGACATTGTTGCTATGGGTCCCACAAAATGGTAGTGTAAATGTGCAGAAACACATGTTTGTTGGACACGCATGTATTCCTTGCAGTGTTCTGATTGGTTAGTTGTTAATCTTGATTGGCACTCTGGAGAGATCCATTACCTTTGGTGGAAGGGTATTTCTGTCAGTATCATTAATATAACTAACTGCTCTATGTGGTTTTAGGGATGTATTCCAGATCCGTGTAAACTTCGTGAATTCATAAGTCGACCACCCCCCAGTAATGAACGTCTGCATTGTACAATGGTTAAAACCGGAGAGGAGACGAGCAACTCAAATCCCTGTTACACACTCTTCTTGGAATACCTTGGCGGCTTGGTGCCTCTTCTAAAAGGGAGAAGAATCAGCAAACTTTGTACCGAATTTGTTATTTATGATCCGAAAGTTAACAATGAGATGAAGATTTGTAAGTTTTATGCACAGTATGCAACTTAGCTTAGATTTTAAAAATTGGCGTAGTTATAATTATTTAAGCAAAATATTAGTTTCTCATATATGCTTGCTGCTTTTTTATTTGCTGCCATTTTACCATTTTTTCATTTCATAAAAAAACATTGCTGCAATTTTACACTATTTTTTTGAATAGTTTATTTGTCTTCTTCTGCATATGTAATCCAATGATTCCATTACCAACAATATTACCAGCACATAACTTAATGTTATGGCAGTGATATTCAGACAGAGTAGAAAAGTACTGTAGTGGAATAAAATCTATTTTTTAACCATATCAGAGGCGGATTTCCCCCCCACCCCTAAATTTTTGAAAATTAAAACGAAATAGAGAAAAACCTTACATCAAAATCTGAAGTCTTTGAGTGCCATCTGGACATTGAGAGGGGCCATGGGCATAAAAATGTGTACCATAACCCCAACTGAGGTGGTCTGGATCCTCCATTCGTAAAAGTTGCTTCCTGGGTAAAGGTTACTCCCTGGGCTGGTCCCTTCCTCTATTTTTTGAATTTTAGAATATTTCTAGAAGTCACTATGTTAATATAATCAGAATAATAATAAAGTGTAAATTATGTATTAATATTGGTTCAAGCCATGACGTTAATATTGTCATGGTAATAAATGTGTATGTTAAGTTAATGTGTTGATTTGTTATTTCCATAGCCAATGAGGAGCAAGGCTATGTGAATGACAAGGTAGTAAGCAGTTCTTGCTTTCAAACGACTGATGAGCAAAAACATCTTCAGACCAATGGAAGTCTAGATGATAATTATGACAATCTCTTTATAGACAATCTTCCTCAGGTTAGTTTTTATGGTGTTAGGCTCTTATGGAACAGAGTATCATGATAAAGTGTCTTTAAATTTAAAAATTATCACTTTAGTTTGTAAATGGAATATCTGTTCTAACATTTTTAGACTCGTATGTAATAACTATAATAAAAATGACATCTTATAAGGCGCACATATCCATCTCAGAGAGCTGCTCAAAAATATAAAAATACAAATAAAAACAAATAAAAATACAAATTAAAACAAGTGCAAGATCTCCAGGGGTCATCCATCCATCCATCACTGCCCTGCCTCGTTCCTAAACCTCTACCTAGGTGGCTTGTGTGTAGTAAAGTGTTGGAGCAAAGAAAATATGGACTGCTGCTGCTAGGAAGTTAATCATTGATCTTCATAGTACAGATCCAAAGCTTTGCCAGCTGAGGCAAACCAAAACCGTTTGTAGTGTAGTACATTCTATGTTAAAGGCGAATGGGACAAAACCTTATCACTCACATATAAAGCAATATTATATTGAGTATATAAAGCCAAGCCAAAGAAAAAAAAAACCAAAAAAAATAACAACTGAACAAAGTATAAAAATGCTGCCATTATTTCAAGTGAAATATGTAGATATAGACTGCCCCTTACATGGATATGCGCACTAGTCCACACATCGAGAGCCATCAGCATTATACTTAATGATACTGGTGCTATACAAATCTACACTATTATTATTATTATTATTATTATTATTATTATTATTATTGTTATTTATTAGATGACGATTATAATTCAATAAACTATATTACTTATTTATTGAAGCATGAAAAATTAGTTGAAGTGACATCTAACATATGGGGCACCAAGTTCAAGATCCATGGGGTAGCTTCCTTTCTGCCTGCCAACATGGGCCAAGTTAACTACAAGACTAGTCTACTGCATCTGCAGCCTAGGCAGATGAGTATTGCATTGGTGCAGTTAACCGATCAACTTCAATATAGTTCAGACACGTCATTGAATTTAAACTCATTTAGCGATGATGAGGATTCAGGTAATTATTAATAATTTTATATTATTTTAGTCACAAATACAAAAAAATAATATTATTTTCAAATTACAGGATGCACCTGTTCATTTATGTATTTGTTTCATTTCATTGATATGTGGTAAAAATTATTTGGCTATTTAAAATCATGTAAAAGGGCGACTTATTCAGTTTTAAGCATCAATCGCACTGGATTAAATTTTGGGAATATGTAACTGTCATCACGGTAAACATTTCTAGGGTAAATGTTACCGTTAATCGCACTTGGACTTTTCAACTCAGTTAGTTTTCCCGAGTAGGTTAAAATTAACTGTTGGTGGCGGTACATTTTGACCCGTAACATGTCCCGTACTGACATGACCTACAGCTTTCTGATCCCTTGATCTGTTTCGCACACTGATTTGCACATACTTTCTAGCTAGTTCTTACCGAAATGAACAATGAGGCTCGGAGTCGGTTAATTTAACCGACCACCTGTGGCTGTTCGCATAGGATTTTCCAGGCCGGTCAAATTCCTGGGTAAATTTCACTCCCGAAAACTAACCGGCGGCGACAGTCAAGTTAACCGAGCGGGACTATCAGCACTGGATTTTTTCGGTCAAACCTACCGACAAGACGGTTACTTTCACTGAAATAAATCCAGTGCGATTGAGGCTTTAGGGAGCTGTCTGACTCAAACGTAGAACGAATTCACCTAGCTGTGACTGTCATCGCATACGTTCTACACTGTACTGTAATGAATACAACACGTACACACAGAGATATCACAAATGCGAAGACTGGCATACCAATGTTTAATACAGTACAGTCCTTGTTCTGACCTGAACATAGATTTCGGCCGACACTGTTCCATACATTGTTTGCGGGAGAGAATCACACAATGTTCAGATATGTGCAGTTAAATTAATATGATGTCATTTCGTTCTACATTCTACGTCGTTGCAAATCGAAAGCTCCTTATAATTAGGCCCTTGAAAATATAATAACAGTAGAACTGTTATATCAAATAAACAACTGGATGAAACTATTTAAATATATAACACGCATTCAGATTTTGACTGTTTTAAATATCCTTTACCTTTAGTATTTTTCATAATTGTTTAGATGCATTTATTATTGATTTTCACATGTTTTGAAAGATATAGAGAAATAAACTGTCAAGCTTTTTTTTATAAAAGTGAAGATGATTTTATGTGTTTTGATAATCAATCAATAAATCAAATAAACATTTATTTCTTGCAAAAAAAAAAAAATCTTACAATAACATGTTTTTTTTTTCATTTAGATGATGCTAATGATAAAATTGACCCTAAAACCTGGCAACCACCTCTGAAAGAAGTGACAGTTGCCCCAGCCAACAATTTTAATAAGAGTAGGATTACGAAACAAGTTGAATCAACGGGTAAAGAGGAGAAACACCAATCTCCTCTTCAGGCGTATCATGATTATGAAGTAGATGGTAATGGTCATTGTGTAAATCAAGGATTAATGCCAAAGAATGTTGATAAATCATTGTATATTAAACAAGGTGCAATACCAAAAGGGTTAGGATCTAGCCACGTCAATTCAAATCATGTTTTAAATACAGCAGCTTTTCTAAGTGACGGCGATGAACTGATCGAAAATGGCGCACATGCGGAATTTTCGAATCTAGGCTTGGAGGACAGCGATTGTGAGGAGAGGTGGGCGCAAGCAAAAACAAAAAATAATGTTAAGGGATTAGATCCTCAAATGTGTACTACTAATGGACCTCGGAATTCATCTCATAAACATAAAAAAATTTGTCAAAATCAGGCGTCAGAATCAAGTAATCTTGCACCGGAAGAACTCAATTTTCCAGCTTCAGATTCCGGTGCCTACGATCAGGTTGAGATTGATGTCACAGAAACGGAACGGCTGATTTCCAATGGGCATACCGGATCGGCTGTAGCAAAGCAAAAGTATCCCATTCCATTTAGAAATCCAAAGGCTGGCGACGTTATTGCAAATAATGTTAGGGTACGGGCACCGTTACAGGCAACGCATGTTGACGATTCTCATAAACCAGTTGAAATGAACGTAAAAATGCAACAGCCAATGCCGAAAAACGTTGGCGAAATGAACGGTGTACAGATTGTCGATGGCAATGCTGCTAAGGTTAGTAAAAAGGCGAAATTGATGCAGGAGTATTCGTTAAGCAAAGCCGAAGTACACTTCATGCACAACAAAGCGCCCCTCTGGAATGAGAATACTCAGGTTTATCAGCTCGATTTCGGTGGCAGGGTAACGCAAGAATCCGCAAAGAACTTCCAAGTTGAGCACAACGGGAAACAGGTAATCAATCAAATTTTGTTTTTTCCGTTTACATTTTAAAAATGTGAAACACCCAGCAGAAACCAATTTAAGGTGTGGGTTACATATGAAAGTTAGAGAAAAATAATTTTTTAAATAATTAGATAATAAAAAGAAAAGAAATCAAGGATATATGTTTTAGATTATAATTGTATTGGACCTACTCATGTGAATTGGATGGCCATTGTTATGAATTATACTCTAGTCTCTTTGTTAAATATAACTTCCTTTATGATTTCTTTGAGGAATTTGATCACTTCCTGCTACTCTTAGCTCTCTAGTTTTGTGTAAACTTAAATATTGTACTATTACTGAAAAAAAAAACACAGATTGAATATTCATAATAAAAGAAATATTTATGTATACTGTAATTTTCAAGTTATTTTAGATTTTATAACCGTTTGTGTACTTCAGAAATAATGTATCTACAGTAGTTAAAAGTAGACCAGTCTAAGCTCACTATTTGCCAAAAACTACTTGCTTGTCAATCATTATAATTTCATTTACATAAACAAAATTTGAAAGTGGGTCTTTGAGTTGATTTAATGTAATTTTGTTTATTTCATCAAACAAAACGATAACAATACAAACAATAACAATACTGTACTAACAACAGGTCACTGTTCCCTGCTAACAATAATAAAATAAATAATACAAACAATAACATTACAAACAATGACAATACAAAAAATAACAATTATTATGGGATAAACAAAATGCAAACTTAATTGCTGTATAAAGTTTCTCAGCAGATTTAGAGTAAAATATTTGAAATATATATATATGTTCCATAAGAACACAATTATTATTAAAAGTAAATGTTTTTTTGGTTTTTTTTTACAGGTGCTGCAATTTGGCCGTATTGATGGACATGCCTACACGTTGGATTTCCAGTATCCCTTCTCCTCAATACAAGCATTTGCTGTTGCCTTGGCAAATATAACTCAAAGGCTGAAGTAACAGCAGATCTGATAAAATTTAAAGTGCATATACTGGACATGATGTAGCTCTTTCCCTGACATTTGTACAATATTTCTATTTCCATAGTACTCCGATATATGATATATATTTTTATATGTTTAATAGAATGTCATGTTTAATGAATTTAGTGAAAATAGTAAGAATTATGTGGTAAAATTGTGACCACTGGGGTACATTGTTTCTATCAGAATAAAGCATTATTCGGGGGATAGGCTGGCTTCATCCTGGGGAAGGTGGGTAGGGGGTGGGGGTGGAGGAAATTGAGAATGCAGAACAGGGAGTGGTGTGAAAATTGAGAATGTGGAAATAAATCCCTATTCCAATAAAAACTTATGGTTATTTTTAGTATTTGAACTCAGTGGAACTAACTTGCTGCCATGGGAAAGTGGGGTTCTACCCCTTTCCCCCTCCCCCAGCCTATGCCTGAGTTGTAATTTGGGTAAAATTTCATCAGATTATTTAATGTCCTATTTGCATGTTGATGTTATGATGTCATATATTACTGCACACAGGTTTTAAAGTACTGTACAGCAATTTATTATTTTTTTAAACCAGTATTGTATTCATGATAAAAGTGTCTATATGTGATGCTTTATAATTTATACCATTGTGAGACTGCACTATGTAAGTCACATAATGAGAATAATACCCGATTTAAGCCACATTTACACTGGACATAATTACTACACGACAACATATCATCGTGTAGTTTGTATTCTTCAACACTGCCCACATATGTATTGCGTCGTCGTGTCGTAATCGTGTCTTGTTAATGTGGCTTCACATGAGAAATGTTAAGCCATGTCCAGACTAACAAATTTTATTTGACAAAAACATATGACCGTATATAGGCACATCATGACCATAAATAGGCACATCATGACTATATATGAGCATAGAAAATTGTCATGGAAATTTGACAACCTAGACAGCTTTAATCTCAGTCCACAGTATCACATTTTATGCGACAAATTTTTGATGTGCCCTTATATGGGCATGATGATGTCATATTACATTCAAATATGGGCATATCACATTTATTTGTCCCAATAGATTTGATAGTGTGGACAGAGTTTATGCGGATTACATTTTAACAAAAATTAACAACGCAATCCTGGCGTCACCCCTGCTGGTAAACTGTTGGTGTGAAAATCAAGATACTTTCACATTCGAAGTTGGATGGATGGGTGGATGGATTATTTTCGGTGTAAACACCAAGGATAATCCACGAAAGTCTGAAGAAGTTTTATTTCCAGTGAGAGATTACGATGGGAATTAAACCGGGGACCAAGAGATCTCCACAGTTCAGTGCACACTCATTGGCTGCCACCAGTTAAGCCGACTGAGCTAAGCTGCTCTCTTTCTTGCTTGGCAGTGATTTAGGTAGAAATATCTCCAGCAACATTTAGCATGCGTTCCATGTAATAATTTTTCTAGTGTGAATTTGGTATAATTTATAGAGCATCACGCAAGACGTATGTCACTCACTGTTGAATGAGAGAGTCAATAAAGTCACCAATATTCAATATACTGTACAATTTGTAAAATGAAAGTTTTCAGTCAGAAGTTTAGGCTACAAGAATGAAGTTTGTATAATGGGTACGTTTTAGATATTGTGCCATTTTCCCCCCATATATGACATTAATTCCATGTGACTTTTGAAGATGTTAATGGGTTCTTAATCAATCACGTTTGCTTGCATATTTTTCCCAGATGTTACTACTCTCTTTGGAAATCTCAGGTGATGTTTCATGTTGCTTCTCATTTTGAAAAAAAAGTACTCTTTATCCCCTTGAAATCTTTTTCAATTTAATTATTTCAATTAGGTCACCGTAAATTCTTCTAATATCGGGCAAGGTTGCGAGGAAAAGAATGTTTAATCTGTCTTCACATGTATGTGAACAAATACCAGAAACCAACATTAATTACTGCACTTTCTAAATTACATATTTTAATAATAATAATAATAATAATAATAATGTCATTTTGTTAGGCGCACGTATACATCCCTAGTAGGGGTGCTTGCGGCGCCTTTTTCCACCTGCCGAGTGTACATGTAGCCATTTTCCGCATTATTATGTGAATTAATTAATTAAATTATTTATTTACTCATTAACGTATATTTATTTGTGTCGGACCAGACAGGATGGGAAAGATAGGCAAAATAAGATGCAACTACTCTTCGGGGTCGCCATCCATCACCACCCTGGCGCAATCCCGGACCTCTGTCTAGGTGGCTCGAACAAAGGAACGGGAAACACATTTGCCCTGCCACAGACGACCGGGTGCTCAGGAGTTGTAATCGAGACAGTGGCCCCAAAAATTAAATGCCGGCCTGTGAGAGACGGGGAAAAGCAGTTATTGAGTTGATTCAAAGTGAGAAATAAAAAGAAAAGATTTAAGTTCAGACTTGAATTCTGAGAGTGAAGTCAAATTTCGAACGTCGAATGGGAGCTGGTTCCAGACTTTTCCAGCTGCAAATTTAAAAGCCCTTGATCCTCGGTGATTATTGATTCTGTATTCTTTATTTTTTGTCCGACTATAGATTGTAATTGTGTATAGAAGTCTTTAATACTTCTTTGGTTGCTGTGAAACAGGTCAAAGGGGGCCCCCCCCCAATTGGACAGAGCTCGTCGGGCAATCAGAGCATAAACAATATATAAACAGGCCCACATCAAGCAACTACATGTCTGTCGGTCTGAGAGTGCCATTTCCGGCTAACCAGAGGTTGCTATTCTTTAAAAAAAATCTTATTAGGGAGGGGGAACCCCCTCTCAACTCCTTCCCCCATCTCGGGCATACGATCTCAAGTTCCCCCCCTGTCGGACAGCTTAGCTCCCCTCCCCAGAAAATACATCCTAGACCCGCCAATACCCTGCACCTTCTGACGACAAAAGTAAAAGTAAAATGGAATTGCTCATTCATAAAACCCATTTAAAAAAATTTACGCTGGCTCAGTATAAAACAACATGCTATATTTAAGGTACTTTTGTTGATTTTCAAGTCCCTTAGCTTTCATCAATCTGTTTATTTACTCAATCAACGCAACCTCTTAACAGTTTGTCTCGTGAAAGCAAAACAAAAAATTATGGTCAACATGCTTTTTCTTTTGAAGCCCCTTTTACATGGATTCCTAGCTGCTTTCTGTTTGTGATTCATCTAATTTGCTTTCTTTAAAACCTATTTATTACTGGAACTTTCTTATTTGTTATTATTATTATACAGTAGGTCTTGACAATTTACAACATGTCACAAATTAATGTTCATGAACTTCTTGAGCGTCTGATAAATGTTTATGAAAACATTTTTTTAAGGTCTTGTGATTAAATTCTACCAAGGAATTTTCCTCTCTTCCACCAAAATATTTATACCATGTTATTAGCTTGCTTGCCCTGATAGTTTTGTCAATGTGTGCAGAAACAAATAATGAACATACGAGGCATTTAAATACTGAATTTTTTATACTACAATTTATTTATTTTTTTTTTGTCAACTGAGGAACGTCAATATATGATACATTTTTAATATGAATAAGTACATTTTGGAAGTACAGCAGATAAATAACTGACCAGCAAAGCAACCTTGTATATTTGTCCTACTCATTAGTGTATCTACAGCATTCATCTAGAGTATTAACATGGTTGGGCTGATGGAAGCTAGATGAATAAGGGAGGTAGTGAGATGAATAAGGGAGGTAGTGTTAGGAGGTGATTATCAACTACAACATTAATTTTAATGCTCTGTACATTTCTGGTGGGAACCGCAGGGGTGGTGTAAGCTTTTTTCAGGACATGCACAACCCTCACACCAATGTAGACAACTATAATCTTACTTTGGTAGTGCAATAATTATTTCAGAGCTATACTTAATATTATTATTAAATTATCAAATTGTACAGTACCCAGTTCCGGCCACATAAAAAAAATACACTTAAACATTATACCAAATTTCATGAAAAAAACCTTCACATAAAATGTGATGGAACATAAGAGTTAAACATGTTCAACTTTTTTTTGATACAATTTGATATGTGATATGTCATCGTACCCATATATGGAAACATCACATTTTTTTGTCACATAAAATTGATAGTGTAGACACCCCATCCCCATAAATTTTGTCATAATCTTGGTTGACCACATTCATACCCAGATAAATTGGTAGCATTACTTTCCACTACTTTAATGCTTGCTTATTTGAGCATGTCCCATGCTTACCGAGACCATGCTACTTTACTATGTCTGACCAGAATGATTAAAAATGATGTTCTCTGTTAATTTCAATGGTTAGAGAGAACGTACTGACAAAAGCCTGGATATTATTATTAATCTTTTAATATTGCATACCCTCGCTATAAAACACTGTTCCACAACCTATGGAATGCACAATCATTTCCAGATAATTTACTAGCATTATTAGCATGTTCGTTAGATCAATACTTATCAATACGTATGCATCTTTACATCACTTTACCACTGGTTAGGATAATAAAATATTTCATATGGCTTTATATTTATCCTGTGTTATATTTAATCTGTAAAAACTTTGGCAATGTCCCTTGTGTGCAACCTAAGGCAAATGGGTGTTCTAAAAGCATCATCCCCTTTATATGCCAAGTTTGGCATTTAAATCTGTGCTAAAGTGAACATTATTTTATGAAAACAAAAATCATCTTTCTCGTGAATTCTTTTTAAATCTTTATTCGTCAGCGTCCTTGGTTTTATTACTAGACATTGTACTTCTCAGCCTTGCGTATTAATACATTATGTTCACCTTAAAAAATTATTTACCATTTCTTTACTTCAAAATGAAGATACAAAATAAAACCATTTTCTCACCATTCTTAGTGGAGCTACAGGATTGGCACATCCTAACCTTGCATACCTGAATCACCCACATCACCCACGCACATTGTGCTTAACAGGCAGCTTAAAAATAATTAACCATTTTTTCTTTACTTCAACTTCAAAATGAGAATACTGATGTAGCACTATGGCTACATATAATTTGGCAAAGATAAGCACCAATTATCTGGAAGAGGCACCATCACATGCCATTTGTAAGTTATATTTCTTTTACTGTTGTGAACTTCAAAATGAGCATACTGTTATCCTGCAATTTTTAAACTGGTATCTTGTACTAAGTTTGGTCTGTTTACACAAGTCCTTGATATAAACAAAATAGAATTTGTGGGAAAAAGTCACTATCCATGGCTACATATAATTTTGGCAAAGATAAGCACCAATTATCTGGAACAGGCACCATCACATGCCATTTGTAAGTTATATTTCTTTTACTTCAAAATAAGCATACTGGTATCTTGTACTAAGTTTGGTCTGTTTACACAAGTCCTTAATTTTAAACAAAATAGAATTTGTGGGTAAAAAGTAAAAATAATGCACTATGGCAAAATAGGCACCAATTATCTGGAACAGGCACCGTCACAAAGATGCTGTGATACATCACAATACCTATGAACTTATATAACATTAAATTATCTTGTAACATTTTTTTACCACCACCAATATTTTAACAGAAATATTTAAATATGGAAGAACTATATACAAATACTGGCAATGTTGATTCTAAATGTACTATTACCAACATAGTGTGTGTTCTTGGTATAATATGGAATATCTATCATGGGAAGTACGTAAATAAGTTAATGACTTGCAATTGTCTCAAAGCATACAAAACATCATCAGTTCCTTTTTCGTGTCTGAGGTGTCACCGTCGATCGCAACAAATGAGCTCAGTCAGCTAATCGCAGTTAATACCTATACGCAAGTTAATGACTTGCATTTTGTCTCAAAGCATTTGAAACGTGAAATGTCATGAGTTCCTCTTCTGTGTCTGAGGTTTCTCCGTCGCTAAACGAGCTTCTGGGTGAAAGACGACATCCACTTGTGATGAATGAAGTCAGTCGGCCAATCGCCGCTAGTATGAACCCAAGATATGGTGGGGATGGCTTAAGGGGGCGGGAAAGGTACTCCGGATGATACTGGACAGCTACGAAATATGGATGACCTGCAAGCAAAAAATGAATATAATATCATAATAACATCATGGAATGCTCTGCCAGACAGATAAGACACTTTGGCAGGAATAATCACCAACAAACTGCCAGTTTGTAAATAACAATTATAGGATAAAGCCAGCGTTATTAATCAAAACATACCACTTAATTCCATAATTTCCATTCGTTTTCCATCTTCACTCCGTCCAACAAACTTTAAACCATTCCCTTCAAATTCTTCAACTTTACTTGGATCCACCTACAAAACAATAATTTTTATGTACATAATCACAACATTGTACATGTATGCTCACGATATATACGCATACAGCATACCTGTACCCCAGCAGTTTGCATGCAAGATGGCAATGTATACGTATGGTATGAATATCTTGCATTTTGCAACCATAGGAAGTTCTACTGTATCCAACACAAAATTTGCCAAAAAATTGCAGAATCGTGTGGCGCAGCGTGTAAGGCATTGTGCTTTCAATCGGAAGGTAGGGTGTTCGAGACCAATGCTCGTCACACTGCTTATATACTTGGGGCAAGATGCTTCATCTGCATTTGCCTTTTCCCCCAGAGTATAATATTAATTGCACTTTTAATACCTAATATTTTATGCAATTTTTAACGGTTTTTAAGTATTTTTTATAAGGCTATTATTTGTATTTAATATATATTTTTCTGTGCCATAGTTTATTTTTACATTTCTACTAATTTTTCGTAAACAAACGTTTTCAGCCATTGGCTACCGTTCTGTATTTAGAATAAATAAAAATAAGTAAATAAATAAAATAAAAAATGAGTACATGGTAGGAGGTGAATGACTCAGAATGACATTATTAGTGCTGATTACACGCATAACTAGGAATATTCTTCAGGGAATGCAGGTGTATCCAATGACCGGGGGAATGGGGGGTAGGGAGGAAGCATCTTGAGCAGCTCTTCCATTATTTAAAATGTGCTTATAAAATAATATTTCTAAACTGACTTCATATCTGTGCCTGTGCCTCTCTTCCACCACTTCAACATCATTATAAAGCTTCCCTGTAAAACAACAAAGATCGATATATATTTAGCAAAACCTGATTCTGTTGTACCATTTATAGACTCTGTTTAGGTATTTCGGAGTTAAGTATTTCAGGCCATCTTATGTAATAGTTTAACAGAGTTCTGTCGTATTAACGTAAGCATAAATGGATAATGGAAAAGGTCAGTAACTTTGAAATAGGGTTTTTTGGAAATGTACAGCACCATATACATACATATACATCTTTCTTTATTTTTCCACTTGATGAAATACAATAACATACAAATAAATAAAGCATAATATGCTGAGTTAATCATAATTTTTGTCCCTCATAACATACTTGTCACAGATTTGTGTTGATTGAAAAAAGTTTTCCGCTTGCCAAGACGCATTGTGCCGCCCATATCTCCTGGGTTGTGTTCTGGCATTTCTATAACCTACAAAAAATATACAACATATTAAGGCTATGTAAAAAATTGCTAATTTTTTATTCCCAAAAAAGTTCAGTAAAAATTTAAGAGAGACAAGTGAGTAATAACCAGTACCATTCTAGTGTTCAAATCAGGCATAATTAAAAGAATTGTCATTAGGTTTTTGTTCAGTTTCTCTACTTCTGTCCACAGTTAGGGGTCTTTTAACCAAAAAGTAAATACTATCTTTTTCGTACTGTAATTTCCTATAGAAATAATCTGATATTGATTACTGTATAAGTAAGTCAAAGTGAATTTGTTAACGTACCACAGTCTCATCATTTTCAGACACAAACTCACTTGAGTTTGCTTTCTTCATGCCTAGAACATTTCTTGCAAACTCAATCACTGCCACCTGAAGTCCCAGGCATATACCTAAAATGTAAATTATCATACTTGACATTAGGCATGTTCAGACAAGTCAGAAGTAAGCTTTGAAATAGCAGTGTAATCCCTGGGTAGTGCCCATGAAGATGCTCTTTGTATTAAGTTATTTCAACCTTACTACAGACGATTTACTCCTGAGCAGTCTCCGGAGTAAGTGTGCTACTTCCGCGTACACAAGGAAGATAAGCAATACATGCTGGGAGTAGTGCAGTAGATGCACTTACTTCAGAGCTCACAAGTAAATGGGACCTTTATTTTGAACTCAAATTATTTCAAAAATAGAAATACCTACAAACGAGTGCCAAAATATCATTTCCTGTAATGTATAAGCCTTAGTAGACATGATATTTTCATAATTGTTTACAATTTTAAAAAAATGTATGCAAAATAACTTAAGAGACAGCGAAGTAGTGACTATTGCTTCGGGAAAATTTGCATGGTTACTTTCTAAGCTTTGAACTAGTTGTTCTGGGTAAGCATTGTATGGACACTCTTCGGAAGTAACGCACACGTAAAATTTTACATTTGTGGTAACTTCACTTCAGATGGAATTTCGTCGTGAGAGTGGCTGGAAGTGGTATAAAAGAGCTTGTGTGCTCCTTTAGAAATCCTCCCCATGGAGGGATGGAGGTTGCCATTTTCAATGATTGACTGTGTATTCAATAAACAGGAAAATTATGAAATGAAATTCAGTACTACAGAAAATAGTATACTAAATAGCATTACAGTATTTATCATAAACCAAGACTTTTTATTTTAGAATTACATTAATTTTGCTTAAGAATCTTGATATTTTATGGTATCTACACTTACCTAGATAGGGTTTTTTATTTACCCTTGCCCACTGTGCTGCTTTCACCATTCCTTCAATGCCTCTAACTCCAAACCCTCCAGGGACAAGAACACCACTGATTGATTAAAAACAAATACATATATTAAATAAATAATTCCACTATAAATAGATCATATGTTTACATTCATATTTTATTTTATTGATTTTCTCTTACTTTGTCCAAAAATTGTATAAGCGCTGAGGTGCTTATTTGAGCAGTTACGTTAAGTGAGTTGAGATCTTTATAGTAATTTTCATAGAATTGATTTGATTGAATTTGAATTTCATTTAAGTGATTTAAAACTACGCAACAAAGTAAGTATGTACTTACTCACTACCGCATAAGTTTTGCCACGCTTCATGATATTTGACTGGGTTCTTCTCCCGCATTTCATCTTCAAGTTCTTCCGAATCAACGTACTATAATAATAATAATAATAATAAGCTTTATTTAAAACACAGAAAACTTGGCTCAACTAACAGTTGTAATTTTGTAAGGTCGTGAATACAAACATTTACAAAAACCAGAAATCAAAGGAAACTAAGAAATATAACCTAAAATTAACTAACAATTGTTTAACTACCAAATACCTTATGTACGCTACATGTACAGATCGTCATTCTTCTGGAGAAGCTGGCCAAATTGTTAAGGTAGTTTTTACCATTCATGTTTTAAATTTTTTGGTTTGGGAAAAAGAAAATATTCTATCTTATCATGTTTACAATCAGGTTTAACACCATCGTCTTGTGGGACATTAACAAAAACATCCAAGGAGGCGGGGCTTAGCGGAAATGTCCATTATTGCCCCGAATATTGGATCACACACCTAGGAACACTAACACAACTCCCTAGTTGAGTGCTCCATAATGTTGCAACTAATAACCAGTGCATTAATATTCAAACTTACGAGGTACCTATTTCAATCCTGGGTAGAAAGAGGCAAAATGGATACTGTAATGCCCCATGTTCTGAGAATTCACTGATTCAAGCCCAAGTCATAGTGCTGTCCCACCAACTGTTTGTTTACATACCACCCCAACAAGCTTACCTTCACCTCAAGTCTGTAATTGCAGACTAAAGCAGAATGCATAAGAGCTTTGTTGACCGAAATGTAAGCATCTTCCAATTTTATATACTTTCCTACCAATGCTATTTTGACAGGGTTTGTGTTGCGGTCATACCTGAAATAAAAACATTTGTATACATTATATTACCTGATAATAAACATATTAAATGATAATAAACATATTAAATATATATTTATAGTAAAATGATGTTGAGTGGAGCTGTAAAGTATCTCAGTGGTTCAGATGCTTGCCAATTCCATGTTCCTGGGTTCAATTTCTGTCAGTGACCGGTTTCTGTAATAAATAACTAAAAACAACCCATTGCCTAACCCTCATAATGACTTAGTTTAGGTTAAGCCTTGGGTGTATTTGTTTGTGTTGTGTCCATATATGGGCATTATGACGTCATATCACACCCATATATGGGCAAATCAGAAGAAACATATAATAAATTAACAGTTAACCTATCCGCCAGCTCTTTCCACTTGGACAAAGATCGTCCGGGACGTAACGGTAGATCAAGTCCAAGCCGGCCTTTGAAGAATGGGATCAGATTTTGTTCAGCCAGTAGAAGTGGAACTCGATAAACACTGGTACAGTCATGGACACAGATAACCTGGATAAAAAAATAAAGAAAAGTGGTACAAATATTTTGCCATAGTACATGTGGATAGGTTGTGTGAACTTGTATGTGTATTAATGTATAAAATATTTATCATAACTTTCTTTGGAGATTGTAGCCAAGTTTTCAAGCAGATATTAACAAAATATATATTTTAAATTGTATATAATATATACAGTATTTGAAGATATATACCTGTTCATTGGCAACATGGCAGAAATTAGACACTTTCTCTCGTACGGCATCATGAATTGGAAGACTACTACGACATACAACCTATAGAAATTAAATGCAGATAAAGTGATAAAATTAATAAAGCAATTTCCTTACAGCTAAACACATGAGGGTGAGGTCTGTCCTTCAGAGCTTACCATAAGATGCTTAATGCTGTCTGAGTCGCTTGTATGATGATGCTTATTTTATCTATTGTTATTCATTATATTTTAACCATATTTTTTATTAATTGTGATTTAATCATAAACAACGTCAAACAATCAATCAATCAATAATTTTTTATTATTATTGTGTCATTCTGACCATCATTGTTCATGGTGCTCTTCAAACATAATTTTTGATTTATTTAAAACTGTCTGTTAAAACAGAATGTCAACTGTTTAAAGAAGTGATGAAGCCTGACGTCATAGCTGTGCTCGTTTCTTAAGCCGTGTCCAGATTATCAAATTTTTGTGGACAAAAAATGTTGTACAGGTCTCCCTCCAATTAAAGACCACTTCCAGGACCGGGATTTACAGTCTTTAGCAGCTTTTGTTTCTAATTAGAATAATAAAAATAATATAAAGTTTGGGACCACAGAAAAGTCGTCTTTAATAAGAGGTGGTATTTACAGTAATTAGAGGGGTTTTTAATTAGACGGAGACCTGTATGTCAATATATAGTAAGTTTTTATTGAAAACTAAGGAAAGAAACGTCATAAATGAGTCATTTATAGAGCTCCAGGTGGTAAGGTCAGACACTTTACTACCTCACTCAATGAAACTGCACATTATTGACTCTTTTTAAATCTTTTTTCCCACCCACTAGTTTTTCAAAATTTTTACTAAACAACGTATAGAAAATCTTGCTTGATAGGTCAAATAAGACAAAAGTGAACCTACCAGGTCTGGAGACAGTCCAAGCCCCCTGAGCTCACGTACGCTTGATTGCGTTGGTTTTGTTTTCTGTTCACCGGTAGCTTTTGGCTGCGGAACCAGACTCACATGGATGTTCAGGAAATTCTGTCGGTTAACGCGGAACTGAAATTGGCGAAAAGCTTCCACGAAAGCCATTCCTTCGATGTCTCCTATTGTACCCCCAAGCTGTCAATTAACAGTAAGTAAATTATGCTATGAAATTGATTTTTTTAAAATTATATTTCTCTTCATACTCACAAAATAACCTAACCTGGTTGTACCACCTACATTTATTTAGGAGGCTTTATATTCAGTGAGTTACTTTGTGCATCTTCAGTTTTTTTTTCTAGCTTGCAGAAGACCCCCTCTTGGGAAACCCTCAGCACCACTTTGGAAGGAGCCAATTATTTCATGGCCGCTATATGGTAATGGTTGGGGGTTGGGGGGAGGGGTGTTTGGTCTCTATACTTTAAACAAAAAAAGTAGAATCTACAGTGGTTTATACAGGAATTTGAAATAGAGGTTGGGGGACCAGGGAGGGACTATCACCATGGAATGTCTAGACCACAAGAAAATTTATGATTACGGCACCAAAATATGGCCGGAAATGGCACTCTCAGAATTAAAATTTGAATAGAATTTACTTTTTGTCTCCATTTTTATGCAATTTTGATAAATTTGGTGGGGGGGGGGAAGAGGACTGGCCAGCTGGGGCCCCTTGAATGGGCCACTGATCTATTTAAGTAGGTCAACAAAGCTAACCATCCAAACAGACTAACGCTGGGGACCCAACACTATTGCACTGTTGCCCTGCTTCATTTTATTATTACCTCTATAATACAAACTTCAGGTTCTTTATCATCTCCATCAACAGGGATTTTTGAAACTCTCTCGACCCACTCCTGAACTGCATCTGTCACATGAGGAACGACTAAAAAAAATGAAATAAATTTAAGAAAGCCATCATCATCTGTATGTTATTCGTCGTGATCAAGTTGAAAACATATATACCCTTTAATATAATACTATGAGACTGCTGTTTCAAAGAACCAACTAACAATCTTCAGTTATTTAACACAAAGTGAACCCTCTAATTGGAGACCGAAACCCCTAGAAAGGTGGTCTCAAATTGGAGGGCAAAAAGTATGCTTTTCAATATACTTTATAACAGTTCTCTAATTGCATGAAATATTAACATTAAGATGTTTGAATAGTTTTGAGAAATTATTGGTGTGCGTCTTTGATAGTGAATTTAAATTATCGGATACTGTAGCTACCTTGTACGGTCTTGCCTAAGTAGTCTCCTTTTCGTTCTTTACTTATGACGGACTGGTAGATTTTTCCGGTGGTTATGTTGTTGTCCCGATGGAGTGTGACGTCCATGAACCTTTCATAGTTGCCTAAATCCAAGTCCACCTCACCACCATCATCGAGAACGTACACTTCACCTTTGAAAAATAAAAAAATATTCATCAAATATTCAATACCATATACTGTATAAATGTAACTATACTGTATTATGCATTGTATATATGTAGGAATCAGGATATTCAATTTATATTATTGATCTTAATCAGAGGGAAAAATACACAAAAGGAACATATATTAGAAAAAATATGAAAATGAGAGCATGGATAACCCTTTAAAAATATACCGTCAAAATAAAAATAAAGAAAAAACAATTAAAATATTTAAAAATTTGATTTAAAAAACATCAATTAAGTTATCAATTTCTAATAATAACATTTCTAATAATACACAGACTGAAGTTTGAACAAGTTCTACAAACCTATTAATTACAAAAATGTGTATACCAACTAGGTATACAAACTATTAGGTTAGGCAAAAAAAAAAATTAAAATAATACAAAATATTATTATTCTAACTGCAAATGGTACAGTATTTCACAAAAATATTTAATCGGTTAAACAATCAAATTAAAATGAAATAAAAAAGGTATAAACCAAGTTTTACCATGTTCATATGGTGAAAATGTCCCTGCATCAATATTCAGATATGGATCTATTTTGATTGAAGTGACACCGATTCCGCAGGCCTTGAGGAGGGTTCCAACACTGCTAGCAATAATACCTTTGCCAATACCACTGATTACGCCACCAGTCACTAAAATGTACTTCATTATATATGTGGCTTCTAGCTCTTTCTGATAACAAAGTTAAACACTGCAAGGTTAGGACGAAGAATAAACTTTTTTTAGCCAGACTGTAAAGTAAGGCCTGTGCGGGAAATATATCCTCTGCGCAAAAATTTGGCCTAGAAATCTGGGTTTGTTGTAAATCTTAATACACCTAAGGCCCTATAAACAATGTATTATGCAGTCATTACGATTCTGCGCACCTATATTCCTAGCGATTTCCGTGCTAATCATAGCTGGTTTTTGAGGTATCACGTACCTGTACATGCCAAGTTTGAGAGAAGTGCTGGCTTGAGATTTGCCATGGAAGTGACTCCGATAGGTGCGGGTCTAGGGCCCAAAAATATTTTGCCTAGATAATAATGGTGTCCGGTGTACTCTAGGGGCCACACAGTATGGAGGTAAATTAGCTCAAATTTAAACATCGCGACGATTTCTTTTTTCGATGTTTTCAGTCAAAGTGGACTGAAAAGTGTACAGACGTGTCAGCCTTGCCTAAATATATATTATTATGTAAGATTAGTACGTTTTTTGTGATGAGACTTGTGATAAGGAATATCCGTGATAAGTGGGAGAATGTATGTGGCTGATGGCAGGAGGGCATGAGATAGGATCAAGAAGCTGGAGTCTCCCACCAGATGCAAAAAACTTTTACTGTAGGTACTGTATGGTATCATCCGTGCAATTATTAGAGAACTTTACAGTGTACGGTTTTTTGGCTTTGACAAGAACCATGCCTGCCCCCCACTGTGGATCAACAACAACCAAACCATCAACAACACAGTCATATCATACATAGGCCTAAGTTATCATAAAAATTCCTCAAGTCAGTCAGCTTGATCCGGCTTTTATCATCATCACTGGTCAGTTAGGTTTACTGTAGGCTGCTGTCTTACCCACCGACTGCCTGTACAGAAGAATTTCAGCCTAGCCAGTGTGTCTAGGCCTGTCTGTAGTAGGCTATAAGGCTCCCAGGCTAGGCTGGGCCTATTTAGGAAGGAGTAGGCATACCCTAGGCCTAGGCCCCTATGCCTAAGTGGCTAAGCCTCTCTCTCTCTAGTAGGCTAGCCCTAACCTAGGCCTAGCTTATGGCCATAGAATTGCTACCTGTACCATCAGCCCTAAATTAAATAAATATACAAATGACTTTTCAAAATTTCTTGGTATGCAACTATTAAACAAAACAAAAAAAACGCATGTTACCCCCTTGTTTGAAATAATCCGTTATAATTTCAATGAAACAAAAGCGAAACGAACACACCGCGCGCTATATAGTATACTCGTGCTCATTCCGCTCTCCTCACATGTTTTTGTAGATGAAAGGATTCCGGGAAAATCCGTTACCTCGCGTCAACCTCTGTCAACTCAATTCACTCTAACACAAATCCCGTTACTATTTACTGTAACATTGAACTCTCCAGTCAAAGTTTATTGATTTTTGGAGTATCAATCAAACTTGTCAACTGACCAATCAGAACAGGCTCTGGATTACGCGCTAGTCCCACACAGTCGTGTTGTACCCTAATGCGGTTGCGCTGTCGTTTTGTGAGAACATTCAATGGACTTTATAACCCAACCTTACTGACTGGGTCATACCGAATTATATTTGTTCGCGCCTTGTTGGAAAATTTCTAGAGCTTTACGGTTATTATATAGACCCCTACTAGTAGGCCCTATATATTTTATTTATTTTAGATAGTTTTTTAGATATTCAATTTGAATTTTTCTACATGTTTGTTATTTAAGTACTTTTAGATATGCCTAATACAATAAACATTTTAACGTCTTAATGATATAATAATTGTATAACGACAAGAAATCGGGAATTTGGAAGAACTTCCTATATTCAAAAAGTCTGTTTTTTTTTTTCTTTTTTTCGTTTTTTTTCTCAATCATTAATTGAATGCTTTTTCTTTATGTATTGTATGGATATGAAATTCCGAATTAATTCTTTGGAAGACAATGAAACCGTCCTGCGATTTTTTTTTCCGTACGAAACATTTGCATGAAACTTCACTCGGGCCATCTCGGATTGACTCGAGTGAGTACGATACGAGGAACAAGAGCAGACACTTGTCGTGACGCTCGAGTTTTACTATTATTGCTCTTTCTACGTTTACCTACGGTAGGCCTATGAAATTTCACGGACTTATGTGATGTACGTCACTGTGTAACTAACTGTGACCTTCTTGGATGTTATTAAATGTTAGTTTATTATCTACAACAACAACAGCTAGTACCTCCTGTTATACAGTGTAGATAGGTACAGTTATACCAAAGGCTAGAGAGAAAGAGGATATAGCTAAGGTCTTACCTAGGCCCCTCCTTAAACTAGGCCTAGGGTCAGAACAGTCACGCTTCACATACTGACATGGACTGAAATTTTTTTGGGGGAAATGGGACAAAATTGAAGCATGAAATGAAAAATAGAGCGCATAAGAGAAATATTATTAAATAAATAATATACCATTCCGGCGTTTTTGAACTTGTCCAAACTATCATTGTAATGTAATTAATGCTAAATAATAAAAATAATAATAATAATAATAATAATAATTTCAGCATTAATTACCTTTGGCCTAAGCATTGTAATGAAGAACCTACAGATACTGTACTATTACTAGGCCTATAAATAATAATCGCCCAAGGGGAATATCTTTTGTGGTAGTTCCCCTTAACGTCGGTTTTTTAATTGTTCTCTAATTCCTCCATTGTCTAA